GGAGGGGAGCGCATTTACTCGACAACCCCGGACTGCTGAAGCCGAGTAGAGCCGAGGAGAGCCGAGCGCGAGCCGACGTACACCAAGCAGCAGGTAGCCGAGTTTGGAGACGGGGACGCCTTAATGGGCTGACGCTCCATCTCCCCAACTTCTTTATCTAGTATCTGCCTGGTCATCATCATAAAAATTAATCGAAATCAAAAGAAATCGTTTAAACTAAGTGGGAAACTAATGAAACTGATACAAATTGGACGGGAATCACTGGGAATCAAGTATTTCGGGAACCATGTGTATCACATCATAAGGGAGTTATTTCCCCCTCGTCTCTGCCCGACAGGCAAAGCCGTTGCGAACTTCATGTGGCAGGTGAGCCGGACGGGCGGCTCTCGGCACGTGGACAAGGAGCAGGCGGCCCAGCTCGCGGCCGCCGCCACGGAGGGCATGTGGAAGGAGCCGGCCGGCTGGGAGCACTTCCGGGACCTGTGGAGCCGCCTCGGGGAGGTGGAGCGCTGCACGCGCACGCTGAGCGAGGCCCTGGACGGCCTGCTCGAGGACCTCCGATAGAATGGGCGAGTGAACCTCCACGCCCAAAGGGACCGTCCATAAAGTACGCTCGTTTTCCTGACTCGTTTTTGGCAAATTACGGTAGCCCGGCGCCTGCCATACTTAAGGTAGGCCAGCCCGCAGCACACACACGAGCTGCAGGCGAGATGGTGCCTACCTATCAGGCGCTATGAGGGGGTCACTGAGCGAGCGTCATTGCTCCCCCTCTCCTCTTCTTTGGGGCCGATACACCAAACCAATTAGTTTCTTTTAGTGTAGTTATTTTTTTTGTTTTGTTCTCCTAAAAACATAAATTACAAAAACAGTGGATCAAACACGCAAACACAAGTTAATAAAACAGTAAGGCAAACATTATAACTCAAAGGCAAATGTACGCCAGACCACGTCTCGCGTAACAGTGTTCGCGATATTTCACGAAACACTGATACGCTGCGACGCGCCTACCTACGGCCTGCAGCGCTGACACCGCTGACACCTAGGAGCACCGCAACAAGCGAGCTGGTTTTTTGGTTTTTTACTGAAAAAACTTCAAGAGCTTGCAAAATTGCCACTCTGTTCTGGAAAGTCACAGGCGTTTCCAGGTTTCCAGGCGAAATCACCACAACTATGAAGCGCTCCC